ATTTATCAAGGGCTCATGAGGGAGGGCAGATGGGGGAGGGAGGGGGAAGAAATGGGGAGCTGATATCAGGGGCTCAAGTGGGAAGATGATAATGGCAGCATATGTGCAAATGTGCTTGACACACTGGATGAATATATGGATTATGATATGAACCGTAAGAGCCCCCAATAGAAATATTTAATAAAAGAGGTAGGAAGGGGGGGGGTGGGGGGAGATCATGTTTCAACAGATATTTGCTGAATTTAAGTGAATTGTCTTTAAAACCTTTATTTTTATAATAAATTAAGATGGGTTCCTGAGAAATGCTGGTAAACTGGTGTTTGTAAATTAATTGGGAAAATTCATGCAATAATCAGAACACAGTATTTAGCAACTCTACAGATTTCACACTGAATGTTATATATACTTGTACCAGTGCACACTATTTTAAAATGTATTGTTTTAGTTCATTACCAAACACAAAACAAAAACAGTTAATAAAAGCAAAATTCTAGTACTATGATGCCACGTTAAAAATTCAAACAACTTTTATTATATATGAAAATGCAAGTTGAATGCAATATGGAGTATATAGGCTTGGAACATGTTTTCAAATCCGTAGCATAAAGAAGTCCTGGTTTAAACAGTATTGAGTTTAAGCAAACAAGAAAACGTTGGTTCAGTTTCTATGAAGTAGAAACTATCGATAGGAGGCAAAATAGCCTCGTTATCATAAAGCAATCGGGTTTTGAAGAACAGCTTTTCAACATCACAAAAGTAATTAGATCTTATGCTAAAACACTTCTTTTCAGTCCAAAATGCTTTAAGTAATCTTGTTACCAATCCTTAATGTAGTGTCCTAAGCAGCCAAGAGCCACAGCAAAAGAACAATATGGTAGTTCTGTTATTTCCAGATTCTATAAAATCCCAAGGCTATTGCGAGGCAAGTAAACACCGAGGCTGTGGACAGAAGTTACATCACCAGTCAAGTATTTGTGATAATTTTGCAGAGATAAAATGAATAACATCATTTTTCAATCTTAAAAAAAGAGCAAATTAGGGGAAATATGACGTTTTTACTCTAGGGTTTTCATGCCCCTAAAACAAAGGTCGGAAAACTGCGGCTCTCAAGTTCTATGTGGGGATCTTGGTATGTACATGTGGCTCTGAAGTAAAATTGAACATGAAAATAAAACGATCATAGTTTCACTTATAAAATTCTAAAAGGATATTACTCAGATAATGGTGATTTCGTTTGTAAAAATATATTTATGGCTCTCGAATAATTTTTAAATTGTTGTAAGGGACAGGTTTGGCTCTTCTTTCTCAAAAGTTTGCCAACCCCTGCTCTAGAAAATAAAACTAAAAACAACGGATATCCTTAAGGATGGGATTGCTCAGGCTTAAATGTTTCCTGTGTTTAAGAAAACCATGTAGTTTGTCTGTTAGAATCCATAAACAGCATTTAAAGTCCTTAGCATTAGCCCTTTTCACAGTGTTAACTTCAAGTAAGTATAAACTCTAACTTTAGAGCCTCTAGTAAATGAAAGCTTCCTTGCCTACGTTCGGTATTTCAGGTAGTAAACAGACATCTGTATCACGCACACAATATAACTTTGCCTTCTGGGTACATTTAAAGGTCATATCTCTCATTTAATATGTCTACTAACATTTTACAAACTAAAATATGAAGCTTTAGTGGAAACTCTTCAAAAAACTCAAATGAAGTAGAAGTTAAAAGGCAGAAAGGGCATCGGATTTTAATAGTTAATACATCACCTGCTCTGTGTTACCTCACCTTGGGTGGATGTCCTTTAAGAAGCCAAAAATGTGTGAGGCTTTTAGGAACTCTCCAGTTTCAAATTTGTTCCAATAGTCATGAAAAGATTTTTTAAAAGAAACTGGGAGATTAAGCGTAAATTCATATGACTAAAAACAGAGAAGTTACGTCTTTCAAAGTAACTTTAGACCAAGCTCACTGCCAGCAAGTTTATCCCAATTCATATCGACTCTATAGGACAGGGTAGAATTGCCCGAGGGTTTCTGAGACTTTTGACTTTTTAGGGAGTAGAAGCCTCATCTTTCTTCCTTTCAAAGTAAAATTCTTATGTGGTCCCAGGAAAAAGGATGAAGTCTTTCTAGGATAGAGCATATGATCGAGAACCGATGGTACTGAAGGAAGATGTTAAAGCTGCACTGATGGCATTAGCCTTCTCCTTCCTCCCCAGGTCCCCTCCCCGCACCAAATGCTCTAGGAATTGATGGAATACAAATTGAAATGTTTCAAGCTGATGAAGCATTGGAAGCACTCACTTGTCTATGCCAAAACATTTGGATGACAGCTAGCTACCTGGGCAATTTTGTTTTTAAAAATCCTTTCATGAATATATGAGTGGAAGAAATCCTTTATTTGTTCCCATCCCAAAGGTGATCCAACAGAATGTAAAAAGATAGTCATACATTGACAAGGAGCTGCCAGAAATTCGGGCCAGCTTCAGAAAAGGATGTGGAACAAGGGATATCATGGCTAATGTCAAATGGATCTTGGTTGAAAGCAGAGAATGTTTAGTTGTGTTTAATCGACTATCCCAGGGCTTCAACACTTCAGTGTGCTCATGTGGAACCTGTCCATGGACCAAAGTCAGCTGTGTAAACAGAACAAGGAGTACTAGATGGTTTAAAATCAACAAAGGTGTGTGTCAGGTTGTACCCTCTCACCATACTTAGTCTGTATGCTGAGCAAGTCATCAGAGAAAGTGGATTGTATGAAGAACTTGGCATCAGGATTGGAGGAAGGCTTAATAACCCGCAATATGCAGATGAATAACCTTTGTTTAAAGTGAGCAGGATTTGAAGGACTTGCTGATGAAGAGCAAGGATTTCAGCCTTCAGTATGGATAACAACTCAAAGAGAGCATAAGTCCTCACAACTCGGTCAGTAGGTGATATCATGATAAACGGAGAGAAGATTGAAGCTGCCAATTGCTTCACATGCATGTCTGCTCCTGTAAAGATTTCCAGTCATGGAAACCCTAAAAAGGATTGCTCTTAGTTGGAATAGGCTAGATACCAGTGAGTTTGGGATTTATAGATTTAATTAATGTCTTAAATGGATCCAAGGGATCCTAGAATATCTGAGATGTTGGCAGTAATACAATGTCTTATAAACTCCTCCTGTGCAACAGTGACCCTGAGGGGCCATTTAGATGCCTTCTAGGGTTTTTTGAAGTGGAACTAAGGGGATAATCTCCCTTGGCTGTGCAAACCGGAACAATGGGGGCCTGGGGCTGCTGCATGGGCTGCTACTTCTACGGATAGCAGTTTGAACCCACAAGCCACTCTTTAGGTGAAAGTTGAGGCTCTCCTCTTTTGGAGATTTACAGCCTGAAAAACCCTATGCAAGGTTGCTATGAGTTGGAATCAACTCAGTGACAGCATGTTTGGTTTTGGAAATGTAGTTTAATGCATATAAGTGTCCCACTTAGCTAAAATTCACAGACTATTTTTGATCATGAGCAAAAAAATGGGTGTAAAAAAATCCCAGTTTAGCTTTCACAGTACCAGAGTTAAAGACCTTATATTTCCTCTGGAGAAGAAATCTTTGCTCAAATCTTAATCAATTTGGTTATAAGGTTCTGAGTATGTATCAGTCTGCCAGGACTCTTAGTTTAGGAGTATACATGCAACTTGAACTAGCTTAGGCATAAAAGGGAATTTAGTTACTCCAACTGAATTATGGAAGGGCAGGGATTGTTAGAATTCAATATTTTGTCTCTGAATATCTACCTTATTTTCTTAAATCAATTTCCTGGATGGAAAGTAAATTTTACCTTTTCACTTGTAGAACACCAGGTGTATCCTTACATTATTTTGTACTTGTGCTTTCATATGTTGTTTTCTACTACTAAGTTGTGGAATCACCTATGATACACTTCAAGCTTTCCAGGGACCACGCTACGAAGGAGCTGTGATAGCTACTGCTCTTCTGTCCTGCTGTGCTGACAGAGCTCCTTGGGAGAGAGGAGCTAACAGATCTGAAAATTAAACAGCAGTAATTTCTTTGAAAAATAGCTTACCTGCAAGATAACGGATTGTATCAAGTTTGTTAGACTCCATTAGTGTTTTTAAGGAGGCAATTTCAGTGTCAATTTTATTACTGGTTTCTGAAATAACACTTTTGGTTTGGTTATCCTGTAGAAAACAATAACAGAATTTTCCATTCTGTATTATGAACAAAACATTTTTATATTATAAATACTTATGGGATAACTATGCATCACAAAGTCTTAACTGGGGAAGCACAGTAGGAACAAGGTGGTATAAAAAATTCACATTAAATGAACACTACAAACTAATGAAACACAACTCTTCCACTTTGATATTTGGAGACCACTTGGGCTTACCATATACCTTACACCTTCAACTGAAAGCCTTCTAAACAAACCACTGCTGTTGAGATAATTCTGACGCACAGCAATCCTGCAGAAAAACAGAACTTCTCCATAGGGTTTGGTTTCTGAGGCCATACATATTTATGGACATAAGACGGCTTCAACTTTCTCCTTTGGAGTGGTTGGTGGGACCGAACCTCTTGGTTAGTAGCCCAATACTTAACACACTGTGCCATCAGGGTTCCTCAATAGCCTCAGGGTAATGTATAAAAGTGGATAAAACAAGAAGCACATCAACCATTACAAAAATCATGAGGATGGCACAGGACTGGTCAATGTTTCATTCTGTTGTATTTAAGCTTCTCTATGGGTTGAACAGATTTGACGGCACAACAATGGGTAACCTACCAGACCATCAAGTTGGGCTGCTAACTGCAAGGTTCTTCAGGATAAAGGAGAAGCTTTCTACTCCAGACACTGTGTCTTAGAGACCCGTGGGAGTCAGTTCTCTGTTTTGTAGGGTGTTATGAGTCAGAATCAACTCATGGTAGTCAGTTTTTCAATTAACAACAGCATTGTTATTAATTTTCAGCTTGTAATAATAACCTTTTGTCTGAATGTAGTTGCAAACAGTTGTGACGTTTATTTCATAAAATTTAGCCTTTTCTTGGGGGAGGGGCAAGCACAAACTTTACTCTCAGAACTATTATTTTATGTGTATAAAGTCCTTGGGATAACACAGTTCAAATTTGAAATATATTCTGCAAAATAGCCAGGTTTATAATAAGACCAAAGGAGCTGGCTGAAATATGTGATGGCCAACATGAAGGTTATGTGTATAGGAGCTGAGGGGTAGGAGAAATTATTAGAGGGGACCTGGTACTCAGAAACTACCTGTGAGAGAAACTGTCGATTTCTTGTTTTGCCTCCTGTATCTGGTCAAGAAGTGAGAGAACAGGATCTTTAGGGCAAATGGGACCTTCCCTTCTATCACATTACAAGCCAAAAAAAAGAAAAAAAAGATGCTTCTTCTGTTAAGACTAGAGACCAAATGGCTTTTAACTTTTAACCAAAGGATTAGGCTGAGTCAGAAAAGTGGGGTTTTAGGTCCATCATAGAGATCAGGCAATGATTACAATTTAGGGTTCCCGAGAAGGCACGTAAATAGTTAGGAGTTGAGAACCTAGGTTCATACCCCCACTCTAACTCTTAAGAACTGGGTAACCTTAATTTTCCTGAGCCTCCTTTTCCAAATGGAAATAAGCATTCCTACCTCATAGAGGCTGATTTGAGGATTAAATGTGTTAATAGGCTGAAGTAAAACCTAGAATACATAATAAACACTCAGTAAGTATTAACCGTATATACTCGAGTATAAGCTGACCCGAATATCAGCCAAGGCATCTAATTTTACCACAAAAACTACATTAAAAATGTGCTGACAAGGAACTATATGTGACCTCCTCCCTGGGGGACGGACAACAGAAAAGTGGGTGAAGGGAGACGTCGGACAGGGCAAGATATGACAAAATAACAATTTATAAACTATCAAGGGCTCATGAGGGAGTGGGGAGCAGGGAGGGAGGGGAAAAATGAGGACCTAATGCAGAGGGTTTAAGTGGAGAGAAAATGTTTTGAGAATGATGAGGGCAATGAATGTACAAATGCGCTTTACACAATTGATGTGTGTATGGATTGTGATAAGAGTTGTATGAGCCCCTAATAAAATGATTTTTAAAAATGTGCTGAAAAACTTGGCTTATGCACGAGTATATATGGTACTATTATTTAAAAAATTTAAGAGAAGCATTTATTTAAATGCCAACTATGGATCATTTTTAGGAATATACTGAATTCTTGTTTTTGAAAGTTATTTTCTATGCCAAAATAGTCCCTCCCCCCTCCCCCCTTAAGTATGCTATGTAGAAGGAGCCCTGGTGGCATAATGGGTTACCTGCTGAGCTACTAACCACAAGGTTAGCAGTTCAAAACTACCAGCTGGCGAAAGAGGAGACTTTCTACTCCTGTAAAGAGTTACAGTCTCAGAAATCCACAGGGGCAGTTCTAATCTGGCCTCCAGGGTCGATGAAAGAACTGACCCAGTGGCGATGAGGTTTTTTTTTAATGGTATATGGAAAGTGTGTTTCTGACTTAGAGGTCAAGTGTTACTACTATCTACCTAGTGGCAGCCTCCTAAGCATGTTGACTGTAACAGCTTTGTGGAAAACATGGGTTCTATAGGGCAGGTTAGCTTCTAAAGTCCAAAATATGGGATAAATAAAAACAGATATATGAAGCAAAAAAGCTCTTCAAGAGAGACATTTTTATGATAGTAGCTTACCTTTTTGGTAAATTCTGTGGTTACTTCCATAAGTTTCTTTTGTTGATCTGTAAACTAAAGGATATGAGACAGTAGGTGGTTAAAAGAAATAAATAAATGTAGGGAATTATAAAAGGACTTGGTCTTACCCTTAAAAAAAACATGCAATAAACTCAGGAGATGTGTAACCTCTATATGCATTGGATAACCTAGGGCTTGTTAAAACAGCTTGCTGCTTCCCTGGACATGTCAAACGCTAAGAATCTACCTTTCTAACAAGTTCACAGGTAATTCTGATGCTGCTGATCTGGGGACCACAATGTCAGAGCCTCTGTCTGCACACTACTACCCATTCACCAAATCGTGAGGGATTTAACGGAAGTCAGCTGGTAAACTGCCAGCCCTAGAGTCTCCCAGGGCAGCTCACGGGAGACAAGTTTCAACGCTGAGGAGCATAAACTAGTTCCCAAAACATGTCTCTGGACACGGGTGCAGGGCAGAGAACCAAAGAGGGCACCGTTCCAAAACATCTTCCTTTCTGCTCAAAGAGGGCTCCCTGCAGATTGCCCCAGCAAGAAAAGGAGGCTGGCAGAATGAAATTCAGGGAGGTGGGGGAGCTTAAGGTGCACACACCTGACCTTGTGGTGTGAAGAACGCAGAGGGAAAAATAGGAACTCTGAATCAACAAGGTGCTTTTATTTAAAACTCCGGGACATACAAAATACTGGTAGGTATAAAAATGTTAGCGCTAACATCCCTGCCCCGGGGAGCAGATGCTTCTTAAATAAAATCCTAATGAAAGCAAAAAAAAAAGACACAGTAACTAAGAAAGTAAGTGAACTAAGAAAGCACACTACCATATCTGTTACTCTGCTCCTTTCCAGGTTGATGTCTAGTTTATTATCTGCTCTGATTCGGCTGGTTTCATTCTTTAAAGAAAAAGAAAAAGGTTAAAAAATATTCTTCAATAAAATATTCTGAAGTGGGAAAAAATTTTACTTACTATCAGTTGCTGTTTAACTTGGTCTAATTCAGTTTTCATTTTCTAGGTGTAAAAGATATCACAATTAGCATTAAAAGACTTTCTTATTGATTCAGAAATTCTGAACCCCTGAATTAGCAAAACTTGGACAATCTCTAGATTACTAAGGCAGAATTTAAAAAAGAAAAATTAAGTAACAAAACAACCCCCCCCAAAAGCTACCCCAAACCCATATAATTCAGAAAATAATTTTTATGACCAAAACAGTAGAAAATACATTTAAGTTCCAGAATTAAATTTTCTTAAAAATAACTTTCTGAATTAAAAATTTTAAAATCATTTTATTAGGGGTGCATACAACTCATCACAATCCATACATACATCAATTGTGTAAAGCACATTTGTACATTCATTGCCCTCATCATTCTCAAAACATTTGCTCTCCACTTAAGCCCCTGGCATCAGCTCCTCTTTTTTTTCCCCCTCCCTCCCCCCTGCATGAGCCCTTGATAATTTATAAATTGTTTATTTCGTCATATCCTGCCCTGCCCGAGACCCTTCACCCACTTTTCTGTTGTCCAACCTCAGGGAGGAGGCCACATATAGATCCTTGTAATTGGGAGGCTCATACAACTCTTATCACAATCCATATATCCATCTGTTGTGTCAAGCACATTTGTTGCCATCATCATTTTCAAAACATTTTCTTTCTACTTGAGCCCTTGGTATTAGCTTCTCATTTTTCTCCCTCCTTCCCCCACCCTCCCTCATGAACCCTTGATTATTTATAAATTATTATTTTTTAAGCCTACAAATTTAATAACTTAAAATTCTGACTTAATTCTAAGAACTTATGTTTATCTAAGTGACAAAATATCTTAAGTGATGAAAGTACAGGATCAAGTAAATACAAAATACTTTATTACTTTCAGCTCTATGATTAACTATACAGTATATCTAAAACCTGTTAATAACCATGTACATTGCTATTTGATTCTATTAACAAAGTAGGATGCTTATGAAATGTTATTTTATTAGTAATAATTTAAAACTTGCTCCACCTCATTCTCAGCTCTCAGATTTGCAAATTCACTTTTCTCTAGGATGACCATATCTTTTCTAATGGAGTCCAAATGTGCCATTAGCTGTTGTACTGTTATTTCCTAGAAAAGAAAATAACTTAGTAATCTATGGAATGCTATTCCTTTACAGAATTATGCTTTTCTAATATGCAATGTTAACTGTTGGTGACTAAGTTAAAAACCACAACAAAACTTATAAAGCCTACAAATGTGGAATAACAAAACGGAAACTAAGCTTTAAGGAAAAGAAAGTATTTTCCAATGAAGAGAAGTAAACGTTTTAATGAAAAGAATCCCAATGAAATACTTGTCGGTGTTGTCAAGTTGGTTCCGACTCATAGTGACCCTGAGAGTCAACATAACAGACCTTTGAGTCAACAGAACTGCCAGGTCCTGCACTAGCCTCACGATTGTTGTTGAGCCCTCTGTTGCAGCCACTATGTCAATCTGTCTATCTTCCTCTTTTTCTCTGCCCGACTTGACTAAGCATGATATCCTTTTCCAGAGACTGGTCTCTCCGGACAAGATGTCCACAGAATGTGAGATGAAGTCTTGCCACCCTTGCCCCTAAGGAGCACTCTGGCCACACCAATTCCAAGGCAGATTTGTCTTTTCTTTTGGCAGTTCATGTTACTTTCATAATTTGTTTGTTCTTTTGGAAGTCCATGTACTTTCAATATTCAAATGCATTGATTCTTGAATCTGGTCTTCCTTATTCAATGTCCAACTTTCACATGCGTCTGAGGGGACTGAAATACGCAGCTTAGGTCAGGCGCACTTTGGTCCCCAAAGTGACGTTCTTTGTGCTCTTCAACACTTCAGAGACTTTGTGCAGTAGATTTACCCAATGTAATGTGTCATCTGATTTGATAAAATGCTTAATGTTGTTATCTCCCATTGCTGCTGTGCTTTCGAGGGCTTTTTACCATTGGAAAATTGTAGGATCTTGGGTAAGACCTGGTAGAATCCAGGCAGTAAAACAAAATCAAAACCACTCACTGGCATCAAGTCGACGCTGACTCATAGCCACCCTGCAGGACCAGTATAGAACTGCCCCTGTGAGTTTCTGAGATTGTAACTCTATGGGAATAGAAAGCCATTTCTGCTGAGGAGCAGCTGGTGGCTTTGAACTGCTGACCTTGCAGTTAGCAGCCCAATGCATAACATTATGCCACTAGGGTTACTTAACAGTAAAACAAAATTGGTAGAAGTATGAGTTAGTTAATTGTGCCAGCCTGGCCAATAATCACATGTGGGGCTGGTTGAAAGGCGGAGGGATAAATGGGTGGTGACGCCTCGCCTTTCTAGTTCTCGGGTCTCTTGTTTTGTGATGGTGGCATCGGGTGAAGCTGCCTCAGCAGTTCCCTGCTTCAGCTTGCAAGATTGACTTCCTACAAGACATCCCCAAGGAGAAGCCGCATGGATCTATCCCGATGCAGCCCTGGGTGCTGGAGCAGCCGTGTGGAGACCCCTGCCAGTGCTGAGATGCTTACACGTTCACTGACTCAGCTTTCCTCCTGCAGTCGGCACCATTGCCTCTGTTTTGTGAGGTGAAGGACTTTGTGGACTGGTGTTGGGTATGGGTTAATGTTGGACTTGTGGGCTTGGGCAGCATTGGGTTGGGATGTTTTCGTGATGCACCTTTTCTTTGCATAAAACTCTCTCTTATACATGAGTTGCTGTGGATTTGTTTCTCCAAAGTACCTAGACTAATACATAGTATTTAAATAACAGCTTTTTTGTCAGTATACTGTACCGTATATACTTGAGTATAAGCTGACCTGAATATCAGCCGAGGCAACTAATTTTACCACAAAAACTGCACTAAAAATGTGCTGAAAAACTCGGCTTATACACGAGTATAAAATTACTTTGCTGAAATCCTTAGATATTTTTTCTACAGTTGACACTACAAAGAATATGTAATAGAAAACATGGTTGGCTTCTACCTGATAAGATATATAAGCTTTTGTTTCGCTAGAGACATTTTTGTAGAAATATTAAGGCAGCCTTACAAAGAAAATAAAAATGTTACCATTAAACTTCTTAAAATTAGGTAAGCTTGTAAACTATCTCCTTTACCAACAGGGTTTAAAAACTCATTTACTCCCTCACTGCCACAAAACAAGAACGGGATCCTAAGCTGGAATACACATCTTCCCCAAGAACAATCTTTAGATGATGGCAAAGCTACAGAAAGTACTAGTTCAAACTGTGGGTTCTGGAGTCAGGCTGTCTAGGTTTGAATCCCAAACCCTGTGAGACTTGGGGGAAGGTATATAACAGTATTGGCCTGCTTTCATCTGTAAAATGAAAATAAAAATACCCTGGGCGGTGTAAACAGTAACACACTCAACTCTCAGTGGAAAGGCTGATGGGTCACCTCCATCCAGAGGTGTGTCCGAAGACTTATCTGGAGAGCTGCCTCCAAAAGGTCAGGCCGGAAAGCCCAGTGCAAGAGTTCGACTTTGCCCCTCGAAGGTTTTCTAGGCTGTAAACTTTATGGAAGCAGATCTCCAGCCTTTTCTCCTACAGAGCAGCTGGTTCGTTTGAACCACTGATCTACTACTGTCATTCCAAGGTACCTTATTCAGAAGAGGCTTCAAAGAGTTCCTGGAAAAGTGAATGAAACGATAATGGAATTTCTTTTCATGAACTTTTTGAAGCCTCCTTGTATTATTATAGAAAACCTTAAAATTTGAAGAGAAAATCCTATCATTGAAAATTTCAGCAAATCCGTATAGCTTTTAGGTTAGCTTTGGGGAAATTAGATGGAAAAGAAAGAATGCATTACCTGTTGGGCTTGAGTGACCATTTCCTTATAGATAGTGTCCAAGCTGACATTTGATAAACTGCTTAGGACTGATACGATGGTTTCTGCTTGTGCTTTGTCAAATCCTGTAAGCAGCAAATATTCGTATTTTTTTAAAGTGCCCAGCTTTACGAGAATAGACAGAATCAATTTCCTCAATAGTTAAATTTACTCTAAAAATGTTCATAATTTAAAAATTGGCAGATAATGCTAAATTAGTCTTTTAACTTTCAGTTCTTACTGGTTTCTTACCCTGCATCTATATCAAAACTGGCTATTCCTTGTTTTAATTATTGACTATATAACTAGCATAAAGATGGTATTGTATTATTTTGATTTTTACATAAAGTCTGCATTTCCTTAGTTGGTAATGAGGTCAACCATGTTTACATATATTTATTTTTTATTTGTTTGTTTTCTGTGATTATAGTCTTTACTTATTAATAAGAACTCTTGTTATATAAACAAAGTAGGTTCACATCATTTGTGCTAACATTTTAAACTTTATGTATGATACCTTTTGATATGCAGATTTAAATGGGTCTGTAATCAGCTATCAGCCTTCTGTCACTACTTTGGAATTTTATGTCTTCCTTGCTTTGAGGAAATAGTCTGAACCCTAGTATTTGGTAATTTTGTCTTTCCTTTTTATCTTAGTTTTTAATTTATCTGGGTTTTTTTATGAAGGCTGCATTATTATTTTTATTTTTTGTAATGGCTAGTCATTTATGTCTGTTATCCAATAGGCCCTTCTTCCCTAAATTTGAAATGCCTTTTCACATGCTAAATTCACATACAGGCTCACAGAGTTCTTGGAAAAATGCAATTAAGATATAGTAGATTTTTCCCCATAAACTTTCCCTTGTATACACACATATATATATATTCATATACATGAAGAAGCTTCAAACATTTTGTGGAAAGAAGGAATTGAAAGACAATGGAATTTTTTTTTTTTAAGATCATTTTATTGGGGATGGGGTGGGGAGTTAAGCCCTTTCTTCCTCACTGGAGAGAACTGTGCTTTTGAACTGCTGACCTGGCCATTCAAAGCTCAGTACATAACCACTCTGCCACCAGGGCTCCAGACAACGGAATTTTTACACAGACTTTTTGAAGCCCTCTTGTATGTTGTTTCTGAATTTTATTCCTTTCTGTTAAATCTACTTTTCTATTCCTGTACCAATAAATTTCACTTAAATGGCTGCTTTAACATCTGGTAATTAAATAATAATATTTCTTCCACATTTATACCTCAGTGTGGACTTTAATATCACTTGCAAACTAGTTTTTCTTTTCATTTTTACATTCTGGTAACTAGAAGCATTCTGCACATACACTTTTATATTACTTTTTCACTTAATACATCTTGAGCATTTCTTAGCAAAAATTCCTTATGCAATACCATTTTTAATGACTAAAATATTCTGCCCCTCTAGCTAACACTTTCAGCTGTTCCTACTAGGATCTTGGCTAGGTGATTTACTATGAGTGTTGTTTACTTTCAAGAAAGCTGTTTTCTCACCATGACTTTCCAAGTCCTGAACCAGGGCGTGGGTATCAAAAGTTAACTTCCGTTGCTCTAAAGGAGTTATGTCCACTTGCCTAACATCATATCCGTCCTTGGTTGTAGTGGTTAAAAAGTCTGAAAAGACAATAGTTACATGACAAAAATAATAATTTATAAATTATCAAAGGTTCGTGAGGCAGGGGAAAAATGAGCTGATACCAAGGGCTCAAGTAGAAAGCAAAGGTTTTGAGAACAATGATGGCAATAGATGTACAAATGTGCTTGACACAATGGATATATGTATGGATTGTGATGAGTTGTATGAGCTCCCAATAAAATGATTTTTTTTAAAAATTGACAACCTCACAATATAAAAAAGACAAAAAAACGAGTTTTCTTATTGGAGCAACTAAGAGAGGAATCACATTTAAGGTTCTACAGGATTTTTCATATACACTTAGTTCCATGTATCTCAAGCAACCTACCTTACTCGGTGTTCCTTTTATCTGAAAGTCTTTCCAAACACCTATGCCCTACTCCCAAAAAACAAACTCATTGCCAGTCGATTCTGAATCATAGCGACCCCATGGGGCAGAGCAGACGCCTGTGTTTCTGAGGCTGTTCAGACAGGAGCAGAGAGCCTCATCTTTCTCAAGCAGAGCAGCTGGTGGTTTCAAAGGACTGACCGTCCAGTTAGCTGCTTACCAGGGCTCCTGGGAAGTCTATAGTGTGCAATCATAAACCTCAAATGCTTTGGTATCACTAATCATTTCCAATTACTGCCCACATCTCCTCTTTGCTCGGGAGAAACCTTCTGTAGAGCTCATTCATTCACTGCCATTACCTAAAGCAGCCTTCTCTCCTCCCATTCTTACACATTTAGTTTATTTCCTACATAATTCTCAGCTTTAATCTGGCATTATCTTGCTTGTTGTCTCTCTGAACCAGAATGTGTTGCAAGGCCTTGAGTCTTTACTGTATCTCCACCTTTACGTAGTAGGATCAAAGTATTTTATTGTTGAATCAATGTAAGAATTTAATTTTAACTCTTAAATCATTTACTGGTGTCAACGCAGGAACCTTTGGAATAATTTTTCACTTTTGAAATGAGGTTTTTATCTTCCTTCAATAAATTCTCAACTTTTAATCTAAACATAATAGTATTTTTTCCATATATATTTCTGATGACTTTCACTAAAAGATATTTGCTATTGTGATTTTGCTCATATACCATGTATTAAAGAAGTTAACTTTTAATTAGCATAACTAACAATGAACACAAGTACTATAGGAGATACTTTAATTCTACCATGACACTTTTTCATACAGGTTTACATTTGCTTATGTCTCAGTCACTAGCAGTCAGCAGGTCATCTGACTTCAAAGTTCATGTGCTCTCTTACTGACTTTGACTGTGGTTGGGTGAAGGCTTACAGACCAAATCAGTTTTCCACTCAATTCACACACGTCATTGGTGCAATCCCACAATATATAACATCCTTTATTCCACTTCATCCCATTCCTCCTTTCCTAACACTTTGTTCAAGGGTAAATGCTGCCATGTCGATCTCCATGGTTGATTATTCTAAAGTGTGTGTACCTCCCTGGTGTTACCCTTCCCCTTACACAAGAGTGCTTCAGTTGGTGGCAAAATGGAACTAAAAGGTAGAATTTTTCCGTGACTTTTTTGAAGCCTCCTACTATTTGTCTGAAAATTGAACCACAAGGGTAAGTTCAGTTTCAGACCTGACTGGTGGCTAAGGGTCACAGTCTCAAGGGTTCTACCAGGCTTAATCCAACCAGTAGGTCTGGTCTTTATGATGTTGTTTTGTTCCATATTTCCTCCCCGCTCTATCTACGATTTTTGAATGTGATCCCTTTCAGAGCAGTTGTTAGTGGTAGCTGGGCAACATCTAGTTTTTCTGGTCCCAGCGTCTTGGAGACTGCCAATCTCATGGTCCATTAGTCTAATTGTTTCCATGCACCTTCAGCTTGAGTTACTCTTCTTTCCAACCGAGTCCCAAGGTTACACCTAACATGGATGCTAATGGGCTTTTAGGGCCCCAGTCATGTTCTACTCAATAAAAAACGATGGAGAGAGAACATTCTTTGTGGACTCCATTGCCAGCTAACCCTGGTGTCTGAGACTCTGGCCCTGAGTCCCCAGGTGCTGTAACTCATTGTCTCAGGGTGTTTGGTTCAGTTTATGATCTCTGTCATTGTATGCTGTGTCTCCTATTGATCATGAACCAATTAATGTATTCATCCAGGTACTTAGAAGACATAGCTGTGACCATAAGCATAACTACTTTTCTGTTAGTCTATCATAAAGCAAATGTCATTCCTTCCTATTCATCTTTTCAATCGATCCAGAAATGGGAGATTCAAGTCTACATAGAGGTACCTTGGAAGTTACAAGTGGTTTTAATATCTTAAAAAATAAAGTCCACTGTAATGTGGACTTAGGTTTAACAAGCAATTGCATCACCAACTGCCCTGTGAATGATGCTAGCAGCAAAAATGCTGTTTTACAGACAGGTCAACATCTCCAGCCTTCCTTGCCTGGAGCTGGTTGGAGTCAAGTGAAGCACCAAGTTTAAAATGGCACAAATAAATGTGGAGCTGGAGAGCGGCAGATGCCTTTGGATGCTGTTCATTTGGTGATTGGAGGATTAAGGAATTAAGGGATTCAGGAATGCTAATGTTGTACTAGTTTGGCAGGTGTGTGTCTTCGAAAATAAAGACCACAGAAACACCTTTTTAAAGCCAGATGTTCTTTAGAACACAATGCAAACAACCATGTGCCAGCCAAGTGGGTGGCATGGAAGTCTGAATAGATCACGAAAGAGGCAAACTTCTTTACATTTGCACCCGAGAACTGCATAGAAAAGGGACACAGAAGCCTGGCGTGAACACCCGGCCGGCCTTCAGAAACTCGCTTTCAGTTGAGACCCTCGGTCCTTATTTCGGTCCGGGTCCTTCCCGCCCCCCGGTCTGGAGAGGAGGGCGTGGCCCCCCGGCCCGGGATCCCCGGAAAAGGCACGCCACGCGGGCATCACTTCCCGACAGCGCAGCTCGGGTATCCGTGACACGCCGCCTAGTCTCACCTCTCCGCAGGGCCGGCGAGAAACGCCTGCGGGGTGAAAAAATCCGGTAGCCCCCGCAGCCTTCACAGCGGAGGAACTGCAAAGCCCAGCGACTCATTTCGTGCCGTTTCCCCGCGGGCGCGATGCGGAAGTCTGCATGACTCACACGCTCAGGCTTTTGGGAAAGATGGTTTGGTCACCGCGGGAATGCTGGGAAATGTAGTTCCCAGCGCGGCCACAAACGCGCGACCAGGCTCGAAACCGGGGTCCCTTAGTGGACGGAGCCGGAGTTCATCAGCATGGCTGGGCTTCTCTGGCTTCTCCCACGGTCTCTTCCCCACCCGGGCACACCGTTACCGCGCGGAGAAAACGGAACCTCGTTGGAGAGCCTTCCGGTGCCCGTGTCTCGGCAACGAAGTGCGTACTACAGCAAGCACCCCGCCACAGAAGGGCCAACCACGACGCGCTTGGGGCGGCGGGGAGGAGGGGCTGAACTACCACCGGCAGTGTGGGGTTTGTAGTCTTTGGGGGTTGAGCGTGCCAGGGGCTCGCACAGTGCCCAGGCTTTCTGGGAACTGTAGGCCTTCTTTTTGTTTCACCATTCTGCTACTTCGCCCTCCGGTGCACTGGAGGGGCATTACTACCCTGTTTCCCCGAAAATAAGACAGTGTCTTATATTAATTTTTGCTCCTAAAGATGCGCTAGGTCTTATTTTCAGGGGATGTCTAATTTTTCCATGAAGAATACGGTACACATTTATTGTTGAACAGAAAAGGAAATTTATTACTTGGATACGGTATGGTAGTAGTTATCATAAACCAGCTCAACCAGACAAACTGAATCCTACAGTATCAAGAATTTCTTGTTACTCCTGCCGCAGCAGGCTGCAGCTTGTCCGGCTGCAGCGCGGCTCTCTGATTAAAAGAGACCTCGCACTTCCTGTCTGCTTCGGCTGCGCCGCGGCCCACAGTGAGCTGCGCCTGCTACAGTCCAGAGTTACCGTAGCTTGGGGGGCTTATTATCGGGGTGGCCTTATTTTCTGGGAAGTATTATTTTCGGGGAAACACGGTAGTTGACTAAATTCCTCCCGCAAACATTCAAGCCCAAACTCACTGCCCTAAATTGAATTTTACTCAAAGGGGTCTTGAAGGACAGAGTAAAACTGCTCGGATGGGTTTCCAAGACTAACGCTTAAAAGAAAAAAAAGATAAATAAGTAAGTAAGTAAGTAAATAGATAGATAGATAAATAAATAGATAAAACATTTTACTGGGATGCAGTCCGCATCATAGAATTAAATAGTTCAATCATACCAAGAATTGTACAATCACCACAATCAATTTTAGAATATTTCCCCCTGTACTCCTTGTTATTAGCTCCCCAATCTCTCCTACCATACACTTAAGAAACCATTAATCCAGTTACTGTCTGTAGAGTCGACCACACTGGATTTCATAGACCAAAAGCAAAAAAAGAAACCGCTAACCAGAATCACACAACAGAGGAAAACTTCAAAAGAAAGCAGAAACTATTAAAAACCAGACAGCTTTAAAATGGGTTAAAAGGGAGATCAAAAGATAAGGTCTTAGGTTTTCAGGTGTGCCATACACCACTTTGCAATGCGCTCGGTGATAGCAAAGCTCTTCACTCCCCCACCTCCCAGTGGTCAGAAGAGATTCACTGGAGGCTTTAATCCGCATGCATTTAAATGGATCAAAGGGGAGATCAAATAAGATGTTACATTTTAACGATGTTTACTTTAATGGACTCCACAATACTCTGTGTGATAACTCTATTTAATACAGTAGAACCCTGGTACTCGACATTATCAGATTTCGACGCGAAATGCCAAGAAAATTTTGCAACGGAGCTCAAAACAAAACATCGGAATCCAACCCAACGCACCTGATTGTTGTAAACAAAAGCAGTTCCTGTTTCAGTCACTCTGTTAGTTGGCTTTGCTAGTACGTGTTATTTAAAGTTTTGCGGCTGAGAGTTCTAAGCTTTTTGCCATAGTTTTTTGTGGCTTTTGGTACTGTTTTTAGATAAAAAAAAGCATAGGTCATAAGAAATAATTTTTTGAAGCTTTTCAAAAACTATTTTAATAAATCATTTTACTGGGGGCTCTTACAGCTTTTTTTTCTTTTCTTTTT